AAGGGGGAGGCTGTACTTTATCCTCAATATTTCCCCCCTCCCTCCATGCAGCAAATGAATGCAACTGGAAATTACTCACTACCATTTACTGAAAGCAGATCATAAATCCAAGCCAGTTACTATCTAGGCCATAAATTACATGATGCATTTCTGTCTTTATGAAGGGCCCTTATAAAGACACAAATGGGTGCATCATGTCATTTTGGAATGTGAACATACATGTAATGTATGAATATGTTAGTTTTATAGGTTAAACACATGGCTACGGCTGAATCTACACCAGGGCTGTATCCCTATCCACTAGATACTATCCCTGACCCAGTTTGACCCCTTTACTGCCACAAACACCTGTTTTTAACCAAACCGTAATCAGTTTGGAAAACTGAAATTACGCAGCCACATCAGTGCCAGGAGATGTTTTTACTATGTGCACTCTTTGCCCTATCAGTTTATGTCTGGTAGTTGCCGGGTTTTTTTTTTTAATTCCCTCAATCCATTTGCATGTTGGCACATTCACTTAATCAAATAACCTTTGTTTTCCCTTCATTCATTCAGATTGCCCACCTGCACTTCTATAATGGTCGAGAAGCAGGAGGTGAAATGCCAACCTGAAAATGTGTGCATATAAACACCAAATCCCATCACCACCAAAAGATAACTCTGCCTTTTCCAGATTGTATTAATCTTCTCCTTAGCTAGGGGCTTGCCAGAAAATACTGAGTGGGAAGAGACCAGAAAAGCCATCTGTACCAAGTTGCCATACAGAAATACACAACTAAAGCATTCCCCAAAGATGCCCATCCACCTTCTTTTTAAAAGACCTCCATAGAAGAATAATCCCATTAACCTCTGAGACAATCTATCCCACTGTTCAACAGCTCTTACAAGAAGTTCTTACTAATCTTTACATGGAATCTCTTCTAATTTGAATCCAGCTCCTGTTCTAGTCTCTGAAACATATGTATGTCTAATAGTTACAGTTGTTCCTCCACATTTGCGGCTTTGACTTTTGTGGATTTGATTATTTGTGGGTTTGATGAATATGTTCTCTCTAGATATCTCTAGGTCCTCCAGCGCAATTCTGCCAGTAGTTGACCATAGAGTTGTGCTGGAGAACCTAGAAATTTCTAGAGAAAACATCTCTCTAGGCATTTGTAGGTCCTCCTGCATGATTCTATGAGCAACATCTGGCAGATGTTGACTGTAGAGTTGCACTGGAGGATCTGGAGATTCTTAGAGAGATGTTATCTCAGGTAAAACCGCATTTTTTTATTTGCAGTTTTTCCACATTCACAGGGGTCCTGTCCCCCTAACCAGAGCGAATGCAGAGGGACCACTGTATATTTCTAACATAAGCACAGAAAATATCATGTGTGTAGCAAAGTGTTTTGAAAGTTGGACTACAACTTGGGAGACCAAGATTTTATTCCCACTCAGCCATGAAACCCACTGTGTGACCTTTGGCGAATCACACTCTCCCAATCTTGAGGAAAGGCAATGACAAACCATCTCTGAACAAACCGTGCCAAGAAAACCCCATAATAGGGTCGCCATAAGTCAGAAACAACTTGAAGGCACACAACACACACACACACAAATAGAATCACAGAGTCTTGGAGTTGAAAGGGGCTTCAAGGTATGGACCAATCTCTAGCCGTCAAGGAATAAATTACTAAAGCATTCCTAAGAGACAGCCATCCAGACTCTTTCCTGATCCACCAATATCTCATAGATTTGGAAGGGTCTTTATGGGTCATTGAGTCCAACCTCCTTCTCAAAACTGGATGTCCAGTTAAATCATCTCTAGCAGGTAGCGCTTCTGTGAAGACATCTAGAGGAGAGCCTAAATAAGCATCAGATCCCATCTGATCTTGGAAGTTAAACAGGGTTTGCCCTGTTTAGTACTTGGATGGGAGACTACTAACAAATACCAGGTGCTGTAGGTTCTATTTCAGAGAAAGGAATTAGCAAAACCACCTCTGGAGCATTCCTTGCCTAAGAAACCCCTATGAAATTCATGGGGTCACTCCCTGGTCACATTCCTAGACAAGCTGGAGTGTGTCCAGAGATCCGAGATCAGATATCCAATAACAGCGGAGAGATCTGTTGGGGCAACCAGGGTGGATCCAAGCTCAGAACTTACAGCCACTACCCAGAAAGGGAGTTCCCATCCTTCCAATGGCCAGAGAGACACCATCCCAGGAATCATAGAAACTGCAGCATAAGGTGCTTTCCCAGACATTTTTATTTCCTGCCTCATTTTATCATTAAGGTTACAGTTTTATGTTCTATTTTAGTGTTTTATGATATGAATAAGCTCAGTCTGCTTTACAAATTGGACCCTTTGGCAGCCAGACACAAGTACCACTTGAGTTCACTGGCATTTACTGCTAGGTAACCATGCTTTAAAACCTGAAGTCATGAACCATAAAGGCAATTGTAAAAATTTATTAATGGTTTTGTTTGTTTGTGTTGTGTGTCTGCCTTTTATGATGGAGTTTTTATAACTGGAGTGAGTATAAATAATAAAATAGCAGATCAGATTAGATACAGAGGCAGGGTGTAGATAAAGATAGAGACAGATAAGAGACAGAGATACCCATCTTTCCGTGAACCTGGCCATGAAATCTCCTTGGTAACACAGGTAGAAGGCTGTTAGGACAAGTTCCGTCTTTTAATGTTTACTACACACCACTGCAGCCAGGTATGGTTCTAAACATTTTAAAACAATAATCCTTACAGGTCATAATTTCCCTTTCAGTAAAAGATGGCTTAGTTCATACATACCTGCCTAACCTCCCAACACTGAAGCTAGAGTCTAGTGTGGCATGAGAGACATACAGGTCTGAATCCTATTCTTAGTCCCAAATAGACTCTTACTCAATATGTTGGTTGAACGGTAAGTCAACACATGAATAAATCCAGTTGAGTCAATGGACCTACACTAGTCAAAACTGACAATACGATTTAGATCTCAGTTTGATTGTCACCCTCCAACTGGTAGAATTCAAAGATATAGCCATATGCATCTGAGGAAGTAGAGTTTAGTCTGTGAAAGCTCATGCTGCCAACTTCTTTCTTTCAAAGGTCTCAAAGGTGCAACAAGATTTTTCTACATACCCCCCCCCCACTGTCCCAATTTGGCAGGGATTGCCCAGATAAATCCTGTCTCTTCCCACTTTTTCAGAGGCTTTTAAAATGTCCCAGTTTATCTCATTTTCTTTCCCTTCCCTCTCTTTCCTTTTTTGCCCTGTCCTTCCAGCATGCCTCAACCAAACGCCTACCAGTGTCCTCTGGAGATAAATGTCTGGGGCATTAAGAGGTGGGATTGAATTAAGGTGGGAAGATGTTTTCAAAATGGGTGGCAACTGCACCTTTCCATGATGCCTAGCACACCACGGATGGCTTTGTTCTCCCTTCCTTCCCACTGTACTGCCATGTTCTTCCTTCCAGGGCAAGGAGCAAAGGGCAGGATGATGGGTAAGAATGGAGGGCAAGGAGTTCAGTTGTGGCAATTGGTGGAGATGGGGTGCTGATGCCACCTGGAAGCCCCTTCCAGGTCTGATGGATCTGCTGGCCGGAAGGAAAAGGGAGGTGATGGCAACCATGGCAGCCACAGATTCATCTCCTTCTGGGAAAAGGAAGGGGTTCATGTGCCCAGTGGTGTCCCCACCCAGTGGCATCACTAGGGTTGGCATCATCTGGTGTGGTAACACATGGACTTTACATGGAGATCCTGCCCACAAGGAAGCAGCAGTGGCAGTTCTGAAAACAGGCCATCCACTTTCTCTGTACTGCTCAGGAAGAGAGACGGTGTGGCTCTTGGCATGGGGATAACTGAATCAAGCCAAATCAGACACAATCCAACTGTCCACATACACAACAAATCTGAGATCACTCCAGGGCTTCCAGGAAACACCAGAGATTTCCCTAACTTTGGTTAGTTCAGAGCAACATCAGCATTAGAGCCAAAACTGGATATCTCCGCAGAAGTAGCCATATATCATGAGGCCAACACCAGCTTTGGGGTGAATACAGCATTTATCATTGGTGTAGAGAAGCCCCAAGACAGGGGAAACATCAGTAGCTGCAATCCTACTTAATTCAGAATTTACATGCTTTGTAAGGAAGTGTGGTCAGGGTAAACCACAGAGACAGATTGCCAGGGCTGACCCAATGCTGCTAAATACAAAATGCCCCTTCCAGTTACAGAGGCCAACTAAACAGGCAGTTCAACCCTTCCATCTCTTCTGAGAGCAACAGACTAGCTTGGGACATGCAATGAAGATTGTCTGGGTCACACTGCTCTCTCCTCCAACAGATGGGAGAGAAAAGGGCTGCGACTGTTGTACTTTTCTTTCCGCATCACTCAGCATCTG